TATATATATATATATATATAAAAGGAATGACTGGAGACTATTAGATGAGCCCCAGTCATCCTTAGGTGTGCTAAATATTTGAGTATCACATACTACACACGGTAGATTCAAACCCGTGACCTGAAAGGACTTATGACCTTCAGAGAGGTTGCTCTACCAACAGGCCACAGTACACGCACTTCTTACTTACACACACATACATATTTGACCTATTACACTCTAATTTTTAGTTAAAATTAAAATTTCAGAATGTAATAGCTCAAAAAAAATTTATCATTTTTTCAAAATATAAAAACTCCAAATCATTGCTCAAACTTCTGAAAAAAAAAAAACCCCAACATTTGCAAACAGCATACATCGATCCAAACCTGACACCTAGAAGACCACATTCTCTCTTTAAATACTAACCCATATCCATAACTCCAAAGCAAGGCCTCAACCCCACCATGCCTTCTCCTTCCTCCCTCCAATGGCTTAGTCTCATAGCCACTATATGGCTCCAAACCATCAATGGCGCCAACACAGACTTCCCTGTCTACTCCTCACAACTGAAACAGCTCCTCTCCATCTCTGAAGTCCAGCTCAATGACCTCGCTTTCGCCTCCGATGCCGGCAAACTCTTCAGCTGGCTCGCGGGCTTCGCCGCCACCTATCTCCCTCTCACACTCATCCTCTTTATTGGGGCAGCCTTCAGCCTCATTGGATATGGCCTTCAATTCCTCTTCTTAACACAAAAAATCACTCACCTCTCATATTGGCAAGTTTTCCTCCTCACAGCTCTATCAGGCAACGGCATATGCTGGATTAACACAGTATGCTATCTTATCTGCATCAGAAACTTCTCCTCTTACAGCAGAATTGCAGTAGGAATCTCAACCAGTTATGTTGGTTTGAGTGCTAAAGTATACTCTGCCATAGCTGATGCAATCTTCCATCCACGAGAAGATAAGAAAGCTAACACTTTTCTGCTTCTAAATGCAATTTGTCCTCTGTTTGTTTCTGTTGTTGCTTCACCTGCTGTTAGAGAATATTTGAACAGTGAAGGAGAAGAAGGAAAAGATGGAGCTTTTCTGGTTATGTTCGTGATAACTATTGCAACAGGAGTTTGTTCAGTTCTTAGCAGCATTAATGGCCCTGTGTCAAGTTGGTTTGGGCCAAGAGAAAAGCTTATCAGTTTGGCTTTGCTTCTTGTTTCTCCTCTGCTGATCATGCCTGTTTATGTTAAGGTTAAGGAGAAGAGTTGGGATAAGTTGAGGACAGTGTATGAGATAAGTGTAGAGGAAGGAGGAGGAAGAAAAGAAGAGAAAGTAGTTGGATTGAAGGGAGAATTGAGGGAAGGAGTGGGTTTTAAGGTGATGGTGAGAAAAATGGAGTTTTGGTTGTATTATTTTAGTTATATGTTTGGAGCAACGATTGGAATGGTGTTTCTGAATAATTTGGGACAGATTGCAGAGTCTCGTGGGGTTTCTGATGTGAATTCTATTGTGTCGTTAGCTTCTTCTTTTGGCTATTTTGGGAGGCTGATGCCATCTTTAATGGACTATTGTTTTTCAAGGTGAGTTTTTTATTTTATTTATTGAAATTTGTGATACTTCTATGTCTTTTCATTTTGCTGAGCTCAGTAATATGTTCCATATGCTGAAGTTTTTTTTTTTTTTTTAATTCTTTTTTTCGCTTTTGATGTTTGATTTCAATTAGTTTAATTCAACCTAATTTATAGGTAATTGAACTTAAGAAATGATTATAGATGCAACAATATCAATACATGAATCCTCCAAATTAGCTTTAGATTTTATGGTAGTATATTTTTCCCCACAGTATAAATTATCAGCAAAAACTATGATATGTTGCGGTTATGCGGGGGGTGGGGGGGTCGTCGAAACTAGTTAATGACAAACATTACAGATGCAAATTCTAATAATGCAAACAATTACTGTCGGATATTGTCGACATTAATTATATTACCCACCCCGGTCCTCGACTATATATGAACGAACGTCCCATTTCTCCGACTCTAAATAACAGAAGTTATGCAGGAGGGTCGTCGAAACTAGTTAATGACAAACATTACAGATGCAAATTCTAATAATGCAAACAATTAGTGTCGGATATTGTCGACATTAATTATATTACTCACCCCGGTCCTCGACTATATATGAACGAACGTCCCATTTCTCCGACTCTAAATAGCAGAAGTTATGTAGTGAATTTTGCACTAAACTCTAATAAAAAATTTTAAGAAAAACTATGTCTAAATCAATTTTTTTTATTTCAGGCATCACCTCTAGATTAGCCATGAACAAACAAAATTTATCAACAACTTAAAGAAATTAGTTTTTGCACATTTTTTTTTCATTTGCTGTCTTTCATTTGCTTCTAACCAAACAGTGCGTTGGTTAGAATTTTTGCCAGATTTGTAGAGGTGGGAAAAAGTCTGAAGATAGGTGCATCCTATTTGGATTACAAAATGTTTGGTTTTTGAAACTTCTAGAAAAATGAAGCACCCAACTAAAGAAGCTAAGTATAGTTATCCTGCCTAGTTCACATTTTGTTTCTCTATAGTGATGCACCATGCCAAACATATGAATTTATTAATATGCCAACTTATTAAAAGTTTTTATTACTATGTCAATCAATAATTCTTAGGTGTTGTTTGATCGGCTGCAAAAGAAATGTGCTGCATTTTTTTGCTTGGCTTTTAGGATTTTAAGCATTTGGCATGGAATATTACATATTTAATGTGAAATATGAATGAATTTAGAAATCACTCTTTAGTTCATCTTCAGTTTATTTGAATTTTGTTGAATTTTACTGCAAAGTACTGCTAGTCTCTGGTGCCGACCAATCATTGCCACTCGCCACAACCGCCAATTCTGGTCGCAGACACCTCAAATTATCGTCGCCACCGCTAACCACCACCCTCACTCGTCATTGACATGCAACCACCCCAGACAACCGCTGCCACCGGCAACCACCTCCAACCATTGCCGCTGCCTGCCAACAACAGCCGACCGCCACCATTTCCACAATAGGACTCCACCTTTGTTCGCCGCCATCTACCACAGCCCCCAAGCACCGATTTCTAGCTACCTGTGGTCGTTGGCGACTACCACAACCATTGGACATTGCCACTGTCGTTGACCATCAGCTACCTGCTATCACTGCCACCAACCGCTAACCACTTGTTACACCGTCATTGATTACCGCTGCTACCATAGCCGCCAACTCCGGTCACCATCACAAAACCTTCCACCCGCCATTAATTTATAAAAGATCTCAAAAATTTGAAATGCTTTCTATTCATTTTACATTAAAGCTAACAAATTCGTACGTTTATTTTTCCTCAAACCAAACAATTAAATAATTATAATGCACTAAATTACTTCTGCATTACATTCATATTACGCTGCATTACTGTGAAGCCAGCTAAACAGTCCCTTAGTGTCAAAGTATTAACCTTAGATGAGTCCATAAGTCTATGTTATAGACCAACATGCATGGTTCAAGGGTCTGCCCGTGCTTAATGACTCAGACGAATAATATTTTGGATTTTGATAGAATTTTGGCATATAACTATCTTGACCTTTTTAGATTTTATGCATGGAGCTGATTTGATTTTTAGACAGATTTGATCCTTCATAGTCTTAGCGTAAAAATAGCATCGTTTCTTAAGATAGACAAGCTCGTTACTCAAAAGTTTTTCTTTACATGATTTAATTTTTTCTCAAATTTTGGATAAAAGGATCTATTGAGAGTGATTAAATTATTTATTTACTGAAAAATGTACATACGTACCACTCAATTCCTATGAATTTACATATCTAACACCTGAACTTCCAAGTTTTACATAAGTACCACCTTATCTATGCATGAAGCATTTTAAGAGTTGGTGGTATTTTTATTAATGAGATATGAAAGATTTGTGTGGTATAAATCTAAAAGTAAATTTAGAAGTTAGATATATAACTACATACGAATTGGGTTTATCTATATAAATGCCCCTTATTTATTTTATAAATTATTAAAAGAAATTTTCGGGAGTGTAATTGCCCTCCGTAGGATCTTCCTAATTCCACCTCCATTCTAGTCTTCTTAATTTTTACCTAGTCTTTTCGGTGCGCATGAGGACACCAGTTCTCTTTAGTCTTTTCAAGCGCCTGTTTACGGTTATCTTAGATAATCCTACGCCTTATGAGGCATTTGCTTCGTGTGCATACGAGTAGCTAACGCGGAAGGAGTGCACGTGGCACTCCTTCCGCGTTAGCTACTCGTATTGGTATTACTCCTCCTGAGGAAGAGGTCGGTGCTAAATGACGATGCGCTATAATGTTTTTTGTGTTTTCTACCCTCTCTGGTGGTCCTCCTTATTTTCGAGGATTTCCACTCCTATTGATATTACACTAAGAGTGTTAGAGTTACATTTTACGGTACAGTGTATGGTCGTGCGGACCATATCCCCACCATAACTTATTCTGTCTAGCCGCGTGGACCATATCCCTACCATGATCTCTTATGTCTAGTCGTGCAGATCTTATCCCCATTGTGACTTGTTCTGTCTGGCCGTATCGGCCATATCCCTGCCATGAGCTCTTCTTCAGAGGAACTACTTTTATTTACAAGGGGCCAAGGACCACTGCAATATTTTTACTTTGGCTTGGCAAGCAGCATTAATTAATGCAATAATAACAATAATAATAATGACTAATTCATATCTTTAGTCATTTATAAAAATAATAATAACTATACCACTAACGCACCAGCTGAAGCAGTATTTCTCCTTCTAACTTTGCAGAAAAGGATACATGGATTCAAGCCCCAGAATTATGGCAACTATGATGGTTCCTTTGGCAGCAGCCTTCTTCCTCCTCCTCAGCACAAGCAACCTCATTTTATACACCTGCACGGCTCTCATTGGAGCTTGCTCGGGCTCAATAACCGCCATTGCTGTCTCTGCAACAGCTGAGCTGTTTGGAACAAAAAACTTTGCTATAAATCACAACATTATTGTAACAAATATTCCTATTGCATCTTTCTTATTTGGTTACTTGGCCGGTCTTCTCTATCAAAGACAGGGAGGGAGGAATAGTTGCATGGGAACTGATTGCTACAACAAAACCTTCTTCATTTGGGGCTGTGTTTCTTCAGTGGGAACACTTCTTTGTACAGTACTGTACGTTAAAACTCGCAGAGTTTCTAACAAGTATCAGCAGTAGGTTGTTGCAGTACTTCTTCTGCAAGCCATTACAGGAGAAAATATTTTATCAGGATACTCATATATATATATATATATATATATATATATAATAGAAAGACATGACATGATGTAAATTAGAAGATAAACGCTGACATTTAGACAGAATTGCAAACAACATGAGTAACAACAAATTGTTTTTTCCTGTGACAGTAGATGGTGGTTACTTTAGAAATAAGTGGTGGTGGGTTCATTTTTACTGTGGACATCTGTAAGTTTGTCTAAAACTTGTTTTCTGAATCTGGGAGGACTAAAAGTGTTGCAAGAGATATATATATATATATGGTTATATAAATTAACTTAATAGAAATTTGGCCTTTTTTTATTTTTTGAATAATTGAGTACTATTTGGTATTTATTATTTGGTCTATAAGATTAACGCTCAACATAACTATTCTAGTTTATGTTCATTTATTTAAAATAATTGAAAATACAATAATAATAACAACAATAATAACAACAACAAGACTTTATCCGACTAAGTGTGGTCAGCTGCTTGAATTCTTTTTCTCTATTGTGTCCTATTGAGTGCCATATTTTCATTTAATTAATAAATTAAGTTCATTTTTTATACAATATGTCCAAGACTTTTTTGATTTACCTCTAGCTTTCTTAACATAAGTTGAATTTAAAACATCCACTCTTCTAATCGGATCATCAAATGGTCGACGTTTAATGTGACGAAACCATCTAAGATGACTCTCTCTAATCTTATACTAGAGCTACACCAACCCTATCACAGATATATTCTATACATTGAAAATGTTTTAGCACGAATTACAAAGACATAACGCGAATAGCAAGAGAAGTGACGTGGCCCAGCAAGGCCTACCAAAGACGACCTAGGACCGCATGATCAACTAGCAGTCCACATACATCATAAGGACGGTGCGCTTCAGGAAAATAAAAGTCATACCGCCTCTAAAGAATCCATCAGACCGGATCCACTTAAAGAAACAAGCAGCCTTTCAACCTGAATAGGTCGAGAGACTAAAGATGAATCTCACACTCCTAGAGCGGACGACAATAATCCTCCGCAAATAACCACATGGGTAGATAATCGCTTCAGCTAACAATCGCCCGCTTAATAGTCGCTTGGCCTAGTAGTCGTCTGACCTAGCAGTCGCCTGACCACACTCATGGGTCCCACGGGTCATATTTATGTATGGACTAAAATACCCCCACCATATCTGCATACTTTAGAGGTACAATATGTAATGAAACAATGACCCATTCCTATAAATAGGGGGCATATCATGAATAAAGGTTACATAAATTTACTACACATTACTATGCTATTACTATCATCTCTCTCTATCTCTCTCATCCTTCAATGCTCTCTTCCTTAGGCAAGGTTCCCGAACAGATTTGGATTCAACATCTTAAAAGATGCGGTGAGTGTGGAGCCATGTCATCAACAAGAAGATGAGCACAATGATTACAGAGAGAAGGGAGCAACCAAAAAGCAGTAGCCAACGTAGATCTCTCACGATGTAAAGAGGAATGCAGGAGATGAAAACTTAGATTACGGAGCAGGTCAGACCATATCGTAAAAGTTTTGAGAGTAGGCACAACCCTGATGAGAAATTGAGCTAAACAGGAGGGTGAACCACGGTTCTTATGAGGTTGGTGACTAGTATTACCAAGACAGTGCAGGCTCTGTACAAATGGAAAGGCAACGTGTAGGACATATTGAGGTGCCAAGCTAGTCTGAGAATGCTTTATCACTCCAAGTCTTTGGAACAAACCCCTAGAAAAATTCAAATTACAGTTCTTGGAAGCTTATAGGGGATGATCAGACCCCAACGACCATATCGCCGCAGTTGAGTCTATTGCGTGCCTGCTCAAATTCTCAGATGCTTTCAAGTTTCATCCGTTTTTCACCACTTTGAGGTTGTCACCCTTGAAGTAGCTTTGTTAATTTCAAATGATTGTTTCTAGCACAGTTCACCAGCGCCTGAAAACCCATGAAGAGTGCACAGTCCTTATTAAAACTCAAGCAAGGTGAATATGAGAGTCTACCCAGATTCATTGTGTGCTTTCAAAGGGATATGATGGGGGTGAAAGACCTCAAAGTCAATGCAACTGTGGCTTCCTTAAAGCAAGCCTTGAGGTCTAAGTGATTTTCTTATGACCTTAGTATTAACAAAACCCAAGACTTGGTTGAGCTGTTGGAAAGGGCCAACAAGCACATGCCGACCAAAGAAAGTACTCCCAAATGTGAGCCAAAAGGGCGTGACACCCAAAAGATAGCTTTCCTCGACGGTGGGTCTAAGCTAAGGAAGGAAGGCAAAGTCCCATCTGATGTCATTTCAAAGATGGTCGGTCCTCTCACGATGACGGAAGGACCAAATGATACGATCAGCATGCCGATCAAGCGAGGAATTAGGACCCACGACTAGCCCGGTACTATGAGAGGTCGACAAAGCATTATGACCAGCCATACAGAGATTATGAGGGCTTGTGAGCAACCCCTTTGAGGGTGTCAATAGCATAAATAGTGGACACCATCCAGGACAAAGAGTTTTTCAAAGAGACAGTGTCAATGAGAGCTAGATATTTTCTCTGAGAGGCAAGGAAGTATTGAGAATTGCTACCGGGAACACAAACACGGTAGAGAAAAGTGTAGACACCTCCAGAGTCTCATCGAGGAATTGACTAAGGTAGGAAAGCTGAAGGAGTTTATGGTCCAAGGACACATGGGTCAAAGACACGTGAAACTGTCAGTGTTAGAGGCCCCTCCCGGGTTCGTCCGGACATATGTCGTCCATGTCGTTGGGATAGTCCCAGCTATCCTCGAAGGAATAGATGCCTCCCGACGAAGCTAAAGTTCACCAGATGGCACCTAAGGCATACAAGCAAAGAACCGTGCAGAGAATGAGGCCCCCTCCCGAGACTTAAAAAGGGGATGATCTCAAGAAATATTTTCCATGAATTCTACTATGTATTCCATACAAGCAATGGTAAATAAAAAATATTTCCTCATATTGTTTTGCATATTGAGACTCTCTTCTAATAAAAGTGTGCATGAAATTATTGAACGCCACACTAACAAATGATTCAAAACTCTCAGGTTAGAAAGCGCTTGGGGAAATGGAAAAAAATAGGAAATCAACAATACATCCGATGAGTATCTTGGAAAATGAAGAACGGTGAACCGCAACGCTAAGATCGCATGTTCCAGTCCAAAACATGATAACAGCTAGCCATGGCGGCAAGATTGCCAAGCTTAGCACCAAATGAAGACAACCAACTATGGCGCCAAGATCATCCGACTGAACACCAAATGAAGAACAACAGACCGTGGTGACAAGATCGCTCGGTCTAGCTCAAGACATAAAAAAGCCAGTCGTGGCACCAGCCAACAGTGGCACCAAGATCGCTCTGCTGAGTGCCAATTGAAAAATGGTGGATCATGGCACCAAGATCGATCTGTCCAATTTGGTACATGAAGACAACCAGCTGTGGCACAAAGGTCGCTCGGCTGAGGACCAACGAAAGGCAACCAACATTACTGTCAAGATTGCTCAATTGAGTGTCAAATGAGGATTGACAAACCATGGAACAAAGATCACCAGATCCAGCCCAAGTTATGAACACAACCAGTCATGGTTCCAAGATCGCTCGATTGAGCGCCAAATGAAGGACTATGAATTGTGGTGCCAAGATCATCTTGTCCAGCCCGAGACATGAAAGCAGCCAGTTGTATTGCCAAGACTGAGTACCAAATGAAAAAAAATGGTGGACCGTGGCTCCAAGATCACTCAATCCAACCTGAAATATAAAGACAAGCATTCGTTGCACCAAGAATGCCCAACTGAGTGCCAACTGAAGTATTGGGGATCACGACGCCAAGATCTCCTAATCTAGCCTGAGACATGAATACAACCATAAGTGGCGCCAAGTTCGCACGATCCAACCTGAGATATGAAGATAGGCAGCCATAGCACCAAGATCGCCCAGCTGAGCGCCAAATGAAAAATGATAGACCGTAGCAACAAGATCTCTAGGTTTAACCTAAGACATGAAGACAGTCAGTCGTGGAACCAAGATCGCCCGACTGAGTGTCTAATGAAAAATGACAGATCGTGGTGCCAAGATCGTCTGGTCCAACCCGAAAAATGAAGAAAACCAGCCATGAAACCAAGATCACTTAATCTAACCCGAGACATGAAGACAGTCAGTTGTGGCACAAATATTGTCTGACCCAACGCTAAATGAAGAACAACGGATCGCGGTGCCAATCTCGCATGATTCAGTCGGAGACATGAAGACAACTAGTCGTGACACAAATATTGCTCAGTTGAGCGTGAAATGAAGAGCATTGGATCGTGCCGCCAAGTCCAGCTTGTCCAACCTAAAATAAAAAGACAACTAGCTGTGGCGCCAAGATCGCCCGACTGAGCGCTAAATGAAAAACAGCATGCCATGGTGACAAGATCGTCTGATCCAACCCGAGGGATGAAGACAACTAGTTGCGGTGTCAAGGTTATTTGATAAAGCCCTAATTTAAAGATGGACAGTCTCTGTGCCATGATTTCCCAATTGAGCCCTAACGTGAAGATGACCAATCACGGCTCCATGATCACTCAACCGAGCCCTAATGCGAAGATGGAGAGTCGTGCATCATTATCGTTGGACTGAATCCTAATATGAATATGACTTGTCGCGGTGCCATGATCGTTGGATTGGTCCATATGTGAAGACAGCCAGTTGTGGAGCCTTAATCGTCGATTAAGCCTTAATGTGAAGATGACCAGTCATGGCACCATTATCGCCTACATCATGACTGCACGACTGAGCCTCGATATGAAGACAGTTAGTCGCAGTGCAATGACCGCACGACTGAGCCCAAAATATGAAGAAGGACGACCGAGGCTCCAAGACTGCCTGCCTAACTAAAAGAAGAAAAGCTACAAATGAAAACTCAATTCAGAACTAGTATTGAAAGCAGTCCCCCACATATTGAAGGTAAGAGTAA